AAGAGAAGAGAAGAGAAGAGAAGAGAAGAGAAGAGAAGAGAAGAGAACTGGAATGGGCATTGGAGGTCTTCTAGTCCAGCCCTCTGCTCAAGAATCTCAATGAACAATGGAGCCTTATTAGAAACTATGCTCAACTGTTCATTTAATGATGGTTCAGAGTTGCAACGGTGCCAAAAAAACTGAGCTTACAACTCGTCCTCCAAGTTACGACCTTCATACCATCTCCACAATCGCCTGATGGTAATTTGAGCCCTTGGCAAGCAGCTTGCTGCATCCTGGGGTCGCCTGATCAAGTTTCCAAGCCAGCTTCTGGCAAGCCAAGTCGAAGGGGAAAACCAGATTCACTTAAACCACGTGAGGCAAGGTTCGCTTACTGACTACGCAATTCACTTAACAAGACAACCGTGGCGATTTTGCTTAACAGCTATAGGGGGAAAAAATGCTCATAAAATCCAGTCACCTGGTAACTTGCTTCGTGACTGCATCACTTAGCAACCACAATTCTGGTCCCAACTGTGGAGGAGGCTTCTTGTTGGCTACTTCTCCATCTGTTAAACTGGAAAAGGATTGGCAATGGTGCAAGAAAGGCCATTGTTTCTGGGGTAAAAAATGCTTTATTGTCACGACATCCAGACAATTTAGATACTCTTGAGTTTCGAGACCGAAGCTAATTTGCCCACCCTGGTGTGTGATCTCTATTGAGGAAGTGTAACTTTCACGATGACCTTAAGTGGATGATCACTTACACAGGGGCCAGCAGTGTGCGATAGCAGCCAAAAAAGCGAACACAATCCTTGGCTGTACAAACAGAGGCATAGAATCAAAATCAGGTGAAGTATTAATACCGGTGGTGAAATCCACTTATCTTTGCTAACAATTTGGGAACGGGAGCGCATGCATGCTATACACATGCGTGCCTCTTCTGTGCATGCGCAGAGCCTTCCGTGCATGCACAGAGGGTCAAAAACAGGACGTAATGACGTCCCGATGGGTGTGCGGAGCTTCCTACCACCAGCGCTACCGGTTCACACAAGCCGGATAGATCCGGCCGGATTTCACCGCTGATTATTACCGCTTTATAAATCCTTAGTGAGACCACACCAAGAATACTGCATCCAGTTTTGGTCACCACATTACAAAAAAGAGGTTGAGACTTTGGAAAAAGTGCAAAGAAGAGCAACTAAGATGACTAAAGGCCTGGAGACTAAAACATATGAAGAAGGGTTGCAGCAACTGGGTTTGGCCAGTCTAGAGAAAAAAAGGACTAGGAGGGACATGATAGCAGTCTTCTGGTATCTGAGGGGCTGCCACAAAGTTGAGGGGGTCAAATTATTCTCCAAAGCACCAAAAAGCAGGACAAGAAACAAGGATGGAAACTAATCAAGGAGAGAAGCAACCTGGAATTAAGGAGAAACTTCCTAACAGTGAGGACAATTAACTAATGGAACGGCTTGCCTTCAGAAATCGTGGGCGCTCCATCACTGGAAGTTTTTAAGAAGAGTGATGGCTAACCTTTTTGTTGTTGGGTGCCGAAAGCATAATGCAATGCATGCATCCCCGTCACCACGTGCCCAGCCTCCCATGCACTCTGCACTCCCACCGTGCATGCACGCATGACCCTCCGCCCCCTGCATACGTGCACATCTCCTGCATGCGCCCCACCCCCGCACATGCATGGCAGAGACCCGGAAATCAGCTGGCTGGTGGGAGGCATGTGTCCTGGAGCTGAGCTGGGGTGATGGCTCATGTGCCTGCAGAGAGGGCTCAGCGTGCCACCTGTGGCACGTGTGCCATAGGTTCGCCATCACGGGTCTAGACATTCACATTTCAGAAAATGGTATAGGATCTCTTGCTTGAGCAGGGGGCTGGATTAGAAGACCTCCAAGGTCCCGTCCACCTCTATTCTGATTCTGATTCTATTTTGAATTCCTAAAGTTAATAGCTAAGAGCTGACAATACCCCCAGTCTTCAGACTTTGCTTTTGGCCTTCCATTTTTTTTTTAATACTGTACGTAAAACCTTGCCCAGATGTCTAGCAGCCAATATTCAGTTATAGTTTCTTCTTCCCATCATCTAAATTGATGTAGGAGGGTGAAGGACGTATGAATTAATACTTAGTTGAGGAAGACGGGTGGACGAGGGTGAACAAATTGAAACTTCATTCAGATCCATTGTAACATGGTTTCTTCAGAGAGCTTAACTTGCTCCTGAAGTGGTTGGACAACACTTGAAGAATCAGATCTTCAATCTGAGGATCTGTTCAAACCAGCAGTATTTGTGGTGACCAGGTATTGTCAGAAGCCAGGACTGAAGTTTATCAGCTTTGATGGAATCCCAAGCTAATACTCTCTCTTGAGAAAGCAGGAATAATCATGGCTGGGCATGTCCTGAAAGTATTTTAGACAACGACAACAAAAACTTTCTCTTTGTAGAGTTGTCTTTCAAGATATCTGCACATTTCAGTTGGATCATCACGCACTTGTGAGGACAAGGTGAAAACCTGATCTTGAGAACTAGTCAGTTTCTGAGCATTGTTCCCACCACTGGCGTTGACCCGTGTCCCAAATGGTTTGCCTGCATCTGTAAGAACCTGAACCTTGATGTTAGTTTTGGAGGCTTGGTTCATGAGTCATTAATAGGGAGGATCAGATTTTCAGATATAAAAGACATTCTTAAACTATGAACATCCTCCCTTATATTTGGTCATATGTTCTTTTTCAGTTCTCAAATCAAAGCTAATCCCTCTTCTATTCTGCAAGTTTTCAGAATAATCCTGGGATTTTGAGCCCTGGTGGAGTGGTAGCACAGTGGTTAGAGTGCAGTACTGCAGGCTACTTCTGCTGACTGCTGGCTGCCTGCAGTTTGGGAGTTCAAATCTCACCAGGCTCAAGGTTGACTCAGCTTTCCATCCTTCCGAGGTGGGTAAAATGAGAACCTAAATTGTTGGGGGCAATATGCCAACTCTGTAAACCGCTTAGTGAGGGCTGTAAAGCACTGTAAAGTGGTATAAAAGTCTAAGTGCTATTGCT